CCCCGGGGGGGGGGGGGGGGGGGTATTTGCTTTCAGTGTCCAAGATTTTGCATAAAACGTCCGAAATCCATCGGGGCAAAGAAGGGAAAAAGCGGTTTCGTCTTGGTCTCTCTCGACTTTCCCCTCCGCCTCTTTCACATCTACATTAGGAGTTATTAGGATTCTGTCCGGCAGACCAGAAATAAGTTAATAGAGGGAGACGAGATTTCGGGATGCGCTGAAGGACAAATTATTCTTCTTGTCTCAAAGGACACGGTGCAAAGGACATGGTGCGAGGACAAGCATTTCCACATCGTGTCCTTTGCACATGGTGCAATTCCCTTTTGTCCGTTTTCCACGTTTCCTCTTTGTTGGGCTGGAATTTTTTTTTTCTTTTTTTGGCTTGGCACCCGTTCTTTCAGACCCGCCCTTACATGCTTGGGCACAAGTGCATGTGCGTGGGAGAAAAAAGAGGAGTAACAGGAGGAATGTAGCACCAATATTTTCCGTGTGTATATCAGATTAATACGCCCCCTCTTGGTCCAACATGTGCTCCCCTTCGGTGGGGTTTGCACGGATATCGGATGCCGAAAGGGGATCCAGTTCCTTCATATGATGAGCTTAATTGGAACCCCTTATCTTTCCTTCCCTTTATACACACAAGAGGCGAACGACCCAGCAGGAAACGAGGAAAGAGAGAATTGAAAGGTCGGATCGGATCCAAGCCTTCTGATGTCGTGACTCGTGATTAAGGGCGATGCCGACACGAGATGAAGATGAAATGCGATCGTTTCGGGCTACGATGCGGCAGACGGCTATGCATTTTGGATTCATTCCTTTCATCCCGAAATTTGAAATATTTATTAGACTGTCATATTTTCGGCGGATTGGCGGATGCGGACGGCATTTGTCGGGGCTCTTCAGACGCATTGAGAATATCTTAGGAGGGTCAGTGAACCACCCCCCATGTAATGAGGATCAATTATCGTGCCCTAATATGTAGTGATCAATGCCTCTTCCCCCGCATCGGAATCAATTGCACCGTCATTTCATCACATGCAATGACTTTCGCTTACCGCCTGTTTCGTTGTATGAATAATGAAAGCGTCTTCCATCACGGTCGCTCGGAAGGACAATCAAATCCCCATGTTCCTCTCCCTTCGTAAGAGCTACCAATTAACGAAGTGCTGTGGGTCCATTTTTCGGTGTCCTTTCCCGGGTGTCCTTTCCCGAGTGCCCTTTCCTGTGCGCCCTTTCCGTTCGTTTCTTCCTTCCTTCCTTCCTCCTTGAACACTTGACTGATGGTTTTCTAATGACATTACTGAAGTCTCTCCCATGCTCGACCGAACTTCACATCACCGCTTGCTTTCATCCAGCCATTCATCCTCCTTAACCTACTTACGAGGCACGGGGGGATCCTTTACATCTTAAATGGATGATGACAATGAGGGTTCGATGGAATCCACCGCGGCTTATCGGTGTATCTGGCTTCTCTGCGTGTGTTTACGATGCTTTTATGGCCCGGATCCGAGGGAGGAAAATGGATTCTCTCTGACATTGTGTTCTTCATGCAAGCAATCTCGGGGGGAATTGATCTGCGTCTCTGTCGCTTTCCTGGTTCCCTGAAGGTTTAAATGTTTATCCGTTAGGGGATTATTCCTTAGCATATTTGCATTTTAAATATATTTTGATACTACTTATTTAAAATTCATATTGTAAAAATTATTTTAAATTTGAAATTATACTTTGCAAAAACACGTTTGAAGTACAAATTAAAGTCTAAAAGGTTTCGTACATACTTTGTGAATGACATTTGAAAAGCAGTTTGGAAAATATTACTAGAAGCAATTTAACAACACGATATTTCGAATGTGCTTGTCGAACTGGTCATATGAGTTACTTTGCCCTTGAAAATTAACCAATTTCTTCCCAAAGCCATGGAAATAAAGAAAAGTTGTGAATGCGTTCTTGGTCGATGTCAAAAAAAGCTTCGGTTGGTATTTTATGCTTTCAAAAGTATTTCAGATACGTCCTCTGCTTTTCTTCAATTCTGAAACAGTGAGGTCACAATGTATATGGATTTCCTATTTCAAATACAATTTTCGCGCGGCAACATGTCTCCTCGAATCTCATGGGGAAAGGATAAGTTTCTAGATCTTGTGATTAGTTCTTCCAGAAAAAATCACACTAGATAGGATGGGGATTCCATGGGGTACAATATAGTAGCAGTCAATCAAGCGGGAGATAAAAAAAAATCCTGTTTCCATCACGCCAAATCGTTTCGGTAGGAAACTCGTGAAATATCTGTGACACACCATAATTCTTCCCCTCCTCTCCTCGGAATCCAGGCTAATAAATCCTAGCTTTCCTTTTCCTGACGGGATGGACGAGGGGCAGGAACTGCATTCCCACTTTCTCTCGTAAATCTCAGATCGTCCTCTTTTTTTTTCTTATCCTGTGCTTTCGCGGGGGATCTCATACCTTTGACTTGATGAGGGCAGCGATGGTGGAGACGTTCCCGGGAACGCCGAGGAGCATGAACACGATGCACGCCACCATGGCGAAATCCACCACACCGGAGGGGTAATTCTGGAACAGAATATCCCCCTCCCCCTCGTCGTCTGCTTCCGGCTCCCCCATCGTCCGCCGCCAAAGTGATGGGGACGCTACCACTGAACAAGCAGAGTATCTTCGTACCCTGTCTCGTGACGTCGTCGACCAGACTCGCGAGAGCCGCATGGCGAAGGGGGGTCTTCATTCCTTCCCCTCGATTCCGTTTCCCAGGGCGCATGTACGAGGAACGAGGCCAACCCTCCCAGCGCTTCTCCACGGGATACGTCCTGATGACATCACACTCGATTCCCGGGCAATATTGCTAACCATCGCAGGCTGATTAATAGACCTTGAAAGATTTTGGTAAGACTGGCCAAAAAAATCACAGGGTAGAGTAAAGGAGTCCATATAATGCAATGCGCGAGCAGTCGATCACGGGGAAAAAAAAAAAAAAACGTTTCCATCCGCGTCGAATCATTTTGATAGAAGATATATCGATGACACTCCATAATTCTTCTCCTCTTCTCCTTGGATGCCGAGCCCACATGTGAGATTTCTGAGTCATTCAGGGACGATATGGTTAATTTCCCCGAACATAAGAGAGTCCAGTCACCTGGAAAACGTGCTCAAAACGCGAAACTAATTAACATCCTTTATCTTTCTGGAAGATTTTGTCTTCCTGTTTGCGATCAGTCTTCCTAGCCCCCCTCCCCCCTCCCCCACCCCTCTCTCCCTCCCACCCCACGTATATGAAAAAAGGGAAATAAAAAAGGAAGAGGAGTGATAAACCCTGGCTTTCCTCCCTTCATTGCCGTTTCCCTCCTAGACTCGTGCATGACCCCCCTTCATAAAATTCTTACATGGTGCGAATCTCTCCCCTTTTTATCATTCCCATTTCCATCCTTCTCCTTCCTTCCTAAGCCCTGATTTCCCCAAGGGGATCAACTAGATTACCGTGCTCTCCTTTTCATTGCCAGGCACATGCCACCGCTTGCGCAAACAAGGCGGACTATATATCTTCGATGCATGTGGCTTTTCGATCGTCCATTTTTTTTCTTCAAAAGTCTAACTTACGTAATTAAAAAATCAACCCAAATCGGCATGAAGAGGAATAACGTTAGTTTTCCATGATGCTACCAGTTCGCGAAGCTGCCAAATGATTGCCGCGGGAAAAGTCGCAAACATAACAGCCCCTATAATGCCGAGGAGCAACTGCGTCTTCCTCTTCCGGCAGAAGAGGATGCCTTTGTCGTCGAACTCCTCCTTCATTTATCACAGGAATGAGGGGTTCTTTATGTTTTTTTTTTATCAAGCTTTCCTCTTGTAGAGCCATGGCGTGGGCCTACCTTCCAAATGTAGGCCTTGTCTTTGCTTCTTAATGAGACCCGCGATATGCTAGGAACATACGCAACTGGCGCCGGAGCAACCAATACTCAATATGCAACTGCCTTCCGTCGGTTGTACTAGGTCGACCATCTTCGGCTCGTCGAAAAACGATTAAAACATCATCGGCGAAACAGCAGGAGTGGGAAGCATACGACTTGAGAGTTCCTGTCGGCATCGTGCGTCTCGACGTGATCGCGAAGACGCAACGAGACGGAGTGCGAGGTTTCCACAAATTCTTTCCTTCCCGTCTGTCACACTTGTCGTCATCGGAGCTGCCCCTGAAGCCATATCATTTCATATATGGAAGAGTTATTTCGAGCTGGAACGGTAAACAGAGCTCTCACTCTCTCAATGAGATACTCGTTCATTCTGTCCCCATCTCGTCGGATGAATGTATCAGTGAATCCGGGATGGTGAACGACAGGACGATTTCTGCCTAGGGTGACCAATTTGGAGATACTAGAATACGGGACACGTTGTGAGAGGCAATCTTGCAGAAAAAGCAAAAATATGCGCATTTTTCTTTACTCTCTTGTTTTGCCGGACGTTTCTTGCTGTTCGCAGGAGGTGGAACAGTCGAAATTCGAGACCGTCCCGCCGAATGGGAAAGTGTTGATCACCCTAGTTCTGCCACGGCAGGAGCGAATCGACTCCTAAAGTCACCGAAAGGACATTAGGGAGCTGAGGAGCTAAGATGGATGCTCCTTTCTGCTCCTTTCATCATAGCTCGATTTCGCTCGTGCCTGCAGCTGGCTATTCCGAGACAAAACACGGGAGATGCTGCATGGTACCCCTGCACATGCGGCATGTGTGCAATGTCTCGAGCTGACTATGGCTCGGCAAGTCATTGGGAAGCGCTTGCGAGTTCCCTGCCCTTCGAGGCATTAAAGAAAAAAATGTGTGCTCGGGAATAGACCCTTCCATGACGTGAGTGCCGCAAAGAATAATATAGTGAATCAATGAATCTTCTCCAGCAAGAAAAGGCAAAAACATCCCAAAAAAGAAGGGGAAGCCTTTTTTGGTCTCGCATCACGGAATACTCCATGATCAATGTGTGTCGATTTGGGCAGTGCAGGTCATGACGAATGCTTTCGGGGCTTCTCGTAACCTACTTTTTCCCTAGCTCATTATTTATTTTTAGCCATAAGATGTTATGTTCTTTGAAGCCCTAGTCTTCAAGGATGTAACAGGCCTTGGAATGGTGTTTCCTCGTCCTCTTCGCTCCTTGCTGCGGCGCGCCTCGACCAACTTCGCTTTGTTCATGCAAAATGTAAAAACTCGTCTTTCCTGGAAGGGTGGGGTTGTGCAGAAGTGACGTAGTTGAAATGACATTCGCTTTGAAACGTTTCACATTTTCCTGAAAGGGATCGTCCACACCGTAAAGTTTTCTATGCAAGATTTTCAATGCTCTGGGAGATTTCTTCAAAATTTTTATTTCAAATATTTTTTTTTGCAACATATTTTCACCGTCTATGCAAGAAAACTCTCTGTTGTGGGCGAGGTCAAAGATAAAGTACGTATTTTCTGAGTTGTTCCGAGTTCCTCATAGGTGTTGAACGCCAACGGCCTTACTCTTAGAAAGCTCGTAGAGTCCCCAGCGGAGAGAGCCGATAGTTGCGGCTAAGTGCTTCGTTTCTTCGAGCCAAATCTGAAGCCTGAAACTCAAGATCAGTTAAGCATGGTGAAAGATTCATTGACAGAGGTCCTAGCAGCAGCGGCTCCCCGAATGAGATCGGCGAAGCTTGCGAGCACTTGCTATTGATTAGGGCATATCTAGGTGGAAAATACTCTTTTTACCGCCTGTGTCTTGTCAGACATTTTCAATTAGTCATGAAAATTCACGTCTTTCGTTTCCATAATGAATAAAGAGGGAATTGGTCGACAGGTTTCATGAGAATATTTGCGAGTCAATTACTGCAAATTCCGTAGAATATGAATGGCTGAACTTTGGGCAATACTGTAGTTTTTTCATCCACCTGACAGTCCAACAATAGACAAGAATGGAATTTCAATTCGGACCTCTTTCACTGCACGGTGTCAATTGACATTCGAGGAAAAGTCGTATTAAGCAATGATTGAAATTCAATCCAGTCTAACACGAAAGTTAGGTCGTTGCTTACGTGGTCGAAATAGCCGGCCAGTTGCTTCGTCCCTCGAGGAGGAGGGGGGGGGGGGGGGGGGGGAGGGGGGGGGGGAGCTGCGAGAGATGCGCTGCTTTAAGGATGAGGCTGGGCTCGGTGGAGCCACGTTTTGCTTGGACGAAAGGAGTAGTTTCGTATTCCCGCATCAGCTCCCTGCGTCACATGTCAGCAGATGACATTCTCCTTCATGCAGAAATGCTCACTATAAACCAGAAGAAATGGTGTCCCTAGACTATGTTGGCTTCTGATGTTTCGGTGGTACACCTTTGAGCGCCTCTTCGACCTGGTTCAAGAAGGGTCATGCAAACACACGCGTATGCGCCTTTCACTTTTCCTATCCCCCCTCCGCAAGGAGGGTACCCTAAACTAGCCTGGGCGTAAGTATGGGGTAATTTATCCACCTGAGGCTTAATAGAAAAGACAAAATGAAGTTCATCAGGTTTCCATGCCAACTAAGAGGAGCGACTTTCTAGTCGAACGTCATTTTCTTATAATGTTAATAAGTTTTTGGATTGGAGAAAAGAAATTATTAGGGGGGGAGGGTTGGAATCTCTTATCGTTTTTTTTTTTGTATCCGTATCTCAGACATTTATTATTATTATTATAGATCTAGGGTCCACTCATTAATTGAGTGGCATTGAAGGAAAAATGGAACATGAGGATTGCTTCAACTGGGTCAATAAGGGCATCATAGAACACTTTATGATTTTACCAAGACCTGTTCCTGCTCTCACTTTCAACAAAACAGGTCTGTATCGAAAGCTCATCAACTTCCAGTCCTCCAAAATCCAGTCTAAAGATAAGTGGAGGGGGGGGAGGAGGATCTGGAAGAAAATCAATATGTTGCAGTAACATTGCATGAAGGACGAAGATAGATGGTGGCTGGTGGGTATACAATAAGTCTTCTTCATAAGGGTACTTCCCTGGGCACCATTAATCACTTCGTATACTCGAATCAGAAGCCGAAACGTTTCTTCAACGGAAAAATGTCTGAGAACAGGGTTGGCAAAAATCATGATTTTTTTTTTAAATTTCTTGAAGTTATTGCATTTTTTCTGCTGGATAGCTCTTTTCTTGGCATATCTTCCCTATCCATTGTTTGGATGGGCACTAGGACCTGGAGGACAATATGTATTTGTACATGGTGTATTTAAAAAAAACCCACTCCTTCCATCTCCCATGCTTGCTCCTCCAGTCCCTACCAGATTGAATGGCCTTTTTCTGCCTTTCCTCCCAAATCTTCTCATTTATGTCCCATGTCAGCCACCCGTGGCTGACACTAATTAGTTCGTCCCAGGCCGTGTCAGCCACGGGTGGCTGGCGCTCTACTTCGAGCTATTTCGACCTGTTTTGGTTGATGCCTGTATGCATTTTGCTGAGCAATTCGAAGGCTTGGCCTCAAACGAATAATAAGCAACACGATATTGACCTCTATGGAGCATTGATGAACTATATTCTTGGAAAAATGAACTTAATTGATCAATAAGGTGGTTTGTCAAGCATTACGTGCACATTGTTGGGTTGTTCCGGACAAACTACACGGTATATACTCTATAATATGCAGTATATTACTCTAGCTTCTTCCTGGCTTGTTCATGTTCCAATTCTTCCTTCAGACGTGAGTGACACAAATGACATGCTTTCTTGTTGCCAATTTTGGTCAATATCTTTCCTACCAAACATTTTTCAGCAAAACTGATGGGTGGGTGGGAGAAGTTCCGTTAGCGACCAGCCATGAAATCTGTCATCTTGTTTTCTACAATAGATGATTATTCTCTACGTGGATCAATCATCTGTGCAAAGGTTGAAGAGTTTTCTGCCATAGTTTTGACATTTTGATGGCATATACTGATGAAACGCCAGACTACCAGGTCACGGTACCATTGATTCAGAATTGACGATCTTCTGATCAGGTTTAATTGTCTCTTGGTAATTATCCCCCAGAGCATCAAGTACAGGGGGGTAGAAGTCAAATCTTGGCAGTGCAATCACCTTTTCCAACATTACTATTGTCAAAGAAATGCATCATACAAAGGAGTAGTTCTAACCAGTCCCACGCACGACCCATTCAAGTTAGCAGGCTTGAGAACTTCCTGAGATCAGTCCAGTCGGCATCGGCCCCAGTTTTTCAAAGAAATTACGGTGTAACAGTGCTATATATCATATAAGGATTTTCTGGGCAAGACAATTAAATGTCTCTCAATGAGATTTAGGACTTCATCATTGAGATCATAAGCTTCAAGTGGATGTATAATAAGCTTCAAGCTTCATGATCAACAATCAAACCCCCCCCTTAGCACATAGCATTGAATCAACATAGTAGAAGCATCGTACCAACACTCGGACGTTGAGTCAGCATTCAATAGATGTTGATTCAATGTTTTGTGCTACTTGAGGCCATAGGTGTCTGTGAAAGAGAAATCTTTCTGCCGACCTTGAAATATAGATCACATGGTGCTTGTTCCTGAATCTCCAGTCCCACCATGATTACTTGCTTCTCAATTAGGGATGCAGGGACATCCCTCTGGCCTGGTGGGAGCACTTTCCTTAGAAGGGCTTGGCAGTCAATGTGTTAAGGGGAAGGGAGGGGGGAGTCGAAAGTGAAAGTATGAGGTCTCAGATAGTGCTAATAATTTGCCGTCAAGATCCATTTGGATAATTAATGGTTAATTTATTAATGGTTCTGCAATATTTCACTTGTATCTTCACAGGTTCAAGATATATTTGTAGCCCTTCGAGGCCATGTGCCTCTTCGTGTAGACAAACTTCCATGAAATTTCAGCAGTTGCCTATAGCATTCTCACAGCTTCGCAGAATGTCATATTGTCTCAGGTTTGCATGCGAATTTTTCCATTGAATTTGGGCGATTGGCAGCACCGCATGACTTCATGGTAATTGCCTGACAGAAGCAGAACACAGCTCCACTCAGTTAAGTTGAATTTCCTCTTGTTTGCAACTGCTGAGATAAATCCATCTTCTAAGAGCGGTCAAAAGATGTGAGCATGAAAGGCTGAGTCTGAAGGCCAAAAAAAGAAGGAATTTATTTGAATGACTTTTTTTTAAAACTTCAATGATTAAAAAAAAATTCCATTCTTCACAGATGGTAGGTATTTCCTGCGCTGAAGGCATCTAAACCCCAAGTCCATTGTATTGGATGCCGGGTCTCAAGAGTTTGACTAGCCAGCCAAAAATCATCAGCGTCGCTTGTGATACTAGTGGATCTGAATCCTTTTCGTGTCAACAATGATAGCAGCTGACAAAAAGAATTGTCATTTTCCTACACTAACTTTGCGTTCAATGTCAGCATATTTTTTGAGTTAATGTAATGTTATATATTTCAAGCATGTACGCCATAATCAAAATTCTGTTTTGACTGCGCTCATTATGCGTAAGAAATCTTTCAGATGATAAATGCATTTTTAAGCAGACATTTTTATGGTCTCTGAAAATTTTCTACAAAAAAATTGTACTTATAATGGGATTCTATGGGAGATTCGGGCATACTGAGCAGTCCAGCTTCTTATGGATTAACCATAGGTTTCTTATAAATAAATAAAAAGTATAGATAATTTTGATGCGGTAATACCATGGAATTACCTCAAAATGCCCCATCGACTTGTCCCACCCATTTCCTTGTCAAGTTCCCCTGATAACTCCTGGTTCCAAAAAAAAAAGAAAGAAAAAGAATAGTGATGATGATGATAATAATTAATAATAGGATTGGATAAAGAGTAGGAATAATAGGATACTTGTGAGACACAAAATGGGAAACTGCATGCGTGCGTGCGTGTGGAAGAGAGATATCGGGTGGATTGCACATGCAATCCACCCTTAATGTTTCCGCAAGTTCGCCTGAGAAAAATTGTTGCTCTTTGTCTACTGCTTGAAGATTGGCAAAAAGTGGCATTGGATCACAAAAGTACTTGAAAGATATGCAGTAAAGGAAAATAATAATTATAATAATAAATCCTACATTTGGTCTCCCATGAAATGCATAGTTGAGCCCTGCTTTGGTATGATCTTTCACCAGGGAAGTGACAAACTGATACGACATATTACGCCGAAATTTTCAAGTTTTTCTGGGAGAATCGCTTCGCGTGTATAAATATGGAATTAGGAGCTTCCATGCCACCGGAAATGGCGTTCGAAAAATAGCACCTAAGGGTAAGTTGATTTAAATCACATTTGTAATTTAAAAAAATCATTTGATATTGTGACGGATGAGGATGGCCTCGGGAGACTCGACTGAATGTCCGGGGTTCGGTGGTGTAAAGGTAGCACACCTAACCGGCAATCAGGAGGCCCGGGTTCAATTCCCGGCCGTTCCTTGGCTTCTTTCGACCTCTCATGCCTTCCCATCGTCCGTCTCCCACTTTCCCTCCGTAACAATATAAACAAGCTATCCCTGTGAGAGAATCCTTTATTTTCATTGAAGGTGTCGAGAATGCTGAAGCAAGGAGCCACCATGTCACCTCTTCCTTCTTTAAGCCACTGAATGGAATGGGAACGGGAGCGGAAGAGAGAGAAATTTGAAACATCACTTAGCAACATTGTGTCAAAATTTATCCCTTTTCTTGCACATGCAGAGCGACAATAAAAGGCACATCATTCGTCCCAGCTGTTTCCCATAATAGTCTCAGCTTGGAAATGCGGAGAATTCACAAGAACCTCTTTGACGAGGACTAGGTCGAAAGTGGAACAGCTGTGCCAACACTTGTCATCCGCCATAAAGACCTGATTGATGGGACGAACATTATTTGGTTCCTCTAGGAAACGTCTCCCCCTAGTGGAAATCGAGAAGAGTCTCAGCTGGAAGAAGTCTAGTATCTGATAAAAGGAAGGAATGAAGGAGGAAGCACGGCAGGGGGGGGGGGGGGGGGGGGGGGAGGAGATGGTTCTCGCGAGACAAGAGAAATGGGGATTTAAAAGCAAGGCCAGGCCCAGGTCTTTTTGGCTTCGGCCCAGTGACTTTTCTGCAATGTTTCTTCCTATCCTTCCTGTCTCTTCCAGGCACACCTGGGATATACCAGACCCATTCTTGAAAAAAAACTTTCGCACCAGAACCTTCGTAAAGATGACGTTTTGCTCGACGCTAATCGGGCGGAAAAGAGCCCTTTCTCAAATGAGGACATTGATAATATTCAACACTATACATGAGAGGAGACGAATGCTTTCATTCGAGCGATATCTTTTGAACCAAGCTGGGATGCATGGGCGAGGATTAATGAACCCGACTAAGATTAGTGGTTTCCATAATGCTCCGAGAGAGCACAGCGAGGAAGATAGATGGGACGGTCCATGACCAAGTAGGGAATGTATGAGCAATCCCATGATTTCTACTCCCATTTCAAACTTTCTGACAGATGAGTAATTGCTTGTCAGTGCTCCCCCAGGAGAAAGCGGAGGGGGAAAGGGTTCTGGTGATTCTGTAACAAAATAAAGGTCATTCTAGAACGACGAAATATGATGGGGTAATGACAAGGCGGAGGATGAGTTAAGGATTAGCGTGGATTTCGCCCGTCTGTGCAATATGGGACGGAGTAGATCGATAGGAAATACCACGCAAGAAAAAGAAAAAAACAGTTCCTATTGCGGTATTTGTCACCGGAAATGGTTCTCTGGGAACCCTTCCACCTGCTCTCATTCTCCCGCTTCCTCTCTCGAGAAGAATGACCTAAAGGTGGACCCTTTAAGCCTATTCCTTATCGATGGAAGCCATTTTCAGTTGACTAAGCCCCGACTAATGGTAACTAATGCTTCCAACCATCCATCCCGCTAATGGCGATCCACCACCATTTTCTCCATCTTTTTGTTTCTGCCTGAAAGAAATCTTTCAAAGAGGTGCATCATCGCTTGCTCAATTTGCGTTTTCATTAGCAAGTAAGTGTTATTTATCTTGCTAAAGTGTTTTTACTTCTCGAGTGTAATTCTAGACACCCCTTGCTATTATTTAAAAGCGGCTAAATGCGCATGCCCAGACAGACTCAATCAATGCAATCGGGACTGCTGGAGGTTCTGAAGCAAACAGATTGGAATCGATTACACATAAACATTCTAGCATGCCATAAAACGTGGTTCACAGTGATATAACTTTCTTCAATGCAGTTCCTTCACCATAAGGAGATACACGATAGATAAATATAAATTTATAAAAATGGCAATAATAAATTATTGATGCTTCTATTCAGCACAATAAAAATGAAAAATCTGCATATATAGAAAAATAAATTCATAACTCCTCAGTGTCCTCATTGTCCAACTTGCTGCCAGGATAGAGTCATATTGTTGATGAGAGTCCTATTATTGATTATGCCAGTGGTGGCAAATACAAACCTCACACCCTTGAGTAATCCCAGCTTTCTAAAGGCAGCCATTTCAGCAAATGTCACACCACCAATAAAGACGAGGAGAACAAAACGGTGCATCCGATTGTCATTGGGTCTTTGGATAAAGGCACTGGCAGGAAGCAACTCTTCCAGAAACTTCAATGACCGGGTCTCTTCTGCATCTTGGAAAATCTTACAGAATGCAGGGATATATGAAGCACCATAAAACGAGCCGAGATCATTAGGTTCACTTCGTTCACCGCCACTCACTATTGGCAGGAGCTGGAGTTTGCGGGTGAGAGATTGAGCAAAAGAACTGCGAAGCTGAGCCAGAGGTATTGGAAAACGAGACTTTGATTTCAACTCTATCATAAGCCTTTTCAATGTCAAGAACACAGGAAGCAAGTGTGCTCCATATGCAGCAATGAGATCCTTCTTAAGGCATAGAAATTCATCTGTTGCAACACCACCTTGACATATGGCATAAAGGAATGCAAGTCTCACAGAGTCCACCATTCCTCTTTGAGAACATATGTGGTCTTGGAGGAAAGTGACAGTCTCTTTCACTGATTCGCCACGCAAGATATCACTCTCAGCATTCAGCACCAGGTACATGTTGGGTCGACACTTGACCAAGGTCTCAGTTACAGTCAGATGAAGATTCACTGCCTGTTTCTTATTTTCATAAGATTGTAGAGGCCCCGATAGTAAAGCCTTCATGTCTTTTACACCCATTCCTGACAGCTTTGGCATGGTCTCTTTAAGGGTTTTGGTACGTTGCTTCATCAAGTCCAGTACAGTTCGAAAGTTCTGGTCTCTCATCTCCTGAAAAACTTCATCAGCAGCGCTCAGCATCAGCTTGTGTGTTTTGCCTTCCTCATTAGTGAACTCCAGAGTTCCAGTCTTGAAAGTGAATTCTTCATCCAAGAGGCCAGAGTAACTCATTTGTGACAGGAGAATTGCAGGTAGATCAATATCTCGATCAAATAGGTACATGGCTTCAATCTCAGCTTCTGCTGAAGTTGACAAACCAATCTCAGCTTCAAACATGTCTAGCATGTGCTTAATTTTGGAGGCTTTCTCCCCTACTGTGAAAATGTCCGGAATCTTCCCAAATATACTTTGCAGCTGGTGAACAGCATAGGCCACATCTCTAAGTTGAGTCCAGTCCTTGTTGAGGAACACATTAGTGAAGAATCCAATACTTTCCAGTGACAACACATTATCATCTAGAGGGAGAAAGCCAAGTTCAAATTCATGACACTTGGCTTTGTCCCAGAGGCCTTCTTCTTCCATTAACACCTGCAGCACATGAAGGAATCGAGGGACAAAAAGGATGTGGATCTCTTTGTCACATAATGCTTGTGACAGCATGTGATTGCAGACAATTTTAAGTTTTTTCAAGTCACTGGCAATGCAATACACAATGCGGTGACTGTCACTCTTGGGAGGGATCTTATCCAAGGTGAAGATCTTCCCCACACCATGAGATCTAAAAAGCAATCAATTAAAAATGAATTAGAGAGCTGTAGACTTTGAAATGGAAATCCAGATAAGAAGTAGTCAGAGAGATGGATGAATCATGTCATGCTGGTCAACCTGAGAATAGAAGCTCCAAGGAAAATATCCAACACCTTCATCAGGTCTCGATCAAAGATGATATCCTTTTGTCCTTCCATGTCGGTTTCCAATAGATGGATCATCTGACTTCGATGGACATCCTTCAGGGCATCAAACTTCCTACTACCCCCTGATGCCATTTTTCATGTAAAAATTCAGGAGCAGATCTGAAAGGCAGAGGCACCACATGCTTGGCATCATTTTGACCAGATGCTTCATGAGATGTTTGTATTTCAAGTGATTCAATATATAGGTATGCTGAAGGTGTCGTTTGTATGTCTGAGATTTGTCTCCTACTGCCAAAAAAAACCCCCCCCTCATAAGTCACAACAAAGGGTACATGCTACAATGCAAGTTTAAAACTAAGCCTCTTGGCCCACTCCAATTTCTTTTTTGTTTCTCTTTTTTCACAAAGGAGTGAAGGGAGGGAGCCTAGGGTATGAAGAAATTCAAGGGATGACCAAGGTTTGATTTTCTACCTTGTATTAGAGAAGGGTTAATTAAATGAAAAGTTTCATCATCCAATTATAAGGGAGTAATACATCACTTGATATGGTTGACTGCTCCATTTCCTCTTCCTTTGAATATCAAAGCCAGAGATGGGGGCAATGAATTGCCTCCAGCTTGCTCCCATGTAATAAGGTTGTTATTACAGTTCATGCACATTAAGGAGGTTCAATAATACTTCTGTAGTAGGGGGTAGAGAAGGACTTAATATGCTCCCTGCCAAGGTGTTTTCCCAATGCTTTAACTGTGATGCCATATGATCCACCCACAGGAGGCTCAAATAACAACTACACCATAATTACAGACAGAAATATAAAATATTGTACAGGGTCAGCAAGTGTCTCTGAGTACTGCTAATCTGATTAACCAGAGTTTTAATTAGAACTGCCACTCAATTAAGCACTTTACTCAATTTTAATAAATTGGCATAACTTAAAATTATAATTTAGCTATAATTTCCTCTCTAAACTTGGTAAACAAATCTTAAGATTTTCAAGGATATCACACCATGGGAGCATGGTGCAATAGCATCACTTGAGTCTGGCTAATTCATCATCAGTTGCTGCATTTTTGTGTTGTTTTTACTTTTGAAACCTCAGAAACTCTTACTCAACAAACATCTTCAATATCTAGATAAATAGAATCCATTGAAGTAGCAGCCTCTGATTATTTTTGGTCTTGACATTAGCTTCTAAATTTTGCTGATTAATTCCCTGCCATTAGCAAGAAGATTATTTTTGGTTACAAGGCTTAAAGTCAAATGATGGTGGTAGCTGGAGACTTCCAGTTATTACCAATCACTTCATCCCGTGGAACCCTTCCCTCTAGCACATGCTCTACATGTGTCCATTGCTACCCAATCCTAGCATGAGAAATGCAAATATTCTCCAACTACGATCAGTAGATAGATTTGCTTACATGAAATGAAAGCTGCTGCATCTCATTCCTTCCTGCTCACATACCAATGCAAGAAAATCAGTGAAGACATTAAAGGTAACCACAAATTCAAACATGACAATAGAAGTCAAATAGAGTGGAAGAGGAGCCAGACAAGAGTTGGTTCAAGGGGTGAGAAGGCTTCAGTAAACATCAGGGTCTGCATCCAGACTGCATGCCATTTAGAAACCTTTTGAACAGCAAGAAGATTCAGCTAGTTATTGATCAGTTGCAATGAATTATTCTGATTGTGATAAAAATGTGAAGTTTTACTTGATCAAGCTCAATGAAGTGGTACTCCCACTTCTAACTGCAACTGAGAAATTAAGACCAAAGGGAGTTCAATGGGTACACATACCTGAACCTGAATTAAGTCTATGTAAAATGAATGATGACCTCCTTTTTTAGCATCAGTACATTTGACTGTACAAACATGAAGGAGAGGAATGGCATAAAGAAGAACCTAAGGAGCAAGACAAGGGGTTTATGGGTATGACACTTCCTTGCCCATAATGTATATATTGGGTTGATCCAGTATATTCTCAGACCTTGAAAAGTTTCTATCTAGCAATCCTCCTACCCATACTCCTCGCCATGCCCAAGCAAGAAATCCAGTAGAGGCAAAGATTAATGCCCAAAGTGTAGAGAACAAGTTGTTTGAATTAACACATACATGCCTTATGGCTGATATAATTTTTATTACTGAAACTTGGCTCTCTCCAACTATCTAAGATTCTAGGGACTTACAGACCTGGAACCTCAAGTGTTAGTAATATTTTCTAAAAAGTTTTTGTCACCAAAATAATTAAACACTTATAGAATAACTCTCTTATATACAGGTTCCAATATGGCTTTTTGAAACATCATAGCACCCTTGTTAAACTTTTAAACGTTCAACAAAGTGGCATTTTTAAATGATGATAACAGTGCTCACAAAAGATATTTATATGCCCTTACTTTCAATAAAGCTTTCAAAAAACTACTACATGAACTTCTACCCATAACATTACAATTTATGAATGGGATCAAGGGTGCTACCCTGCAATGGATACAATCCTTCCCGACTAACAGAAAGCAGCAAGTTAACTGCTAAAACCATCTCTCTCCCTCCCTAGAAGTAATACCTGGAGTCCCCTGAGGACCCATACTTGACTCTCTTTGTTCTTCTGTATATTAACCCTGTCTCACTTAAGAAAATCCTTTTTTTTTTTTCTCTCACCTTGCCTTGGGGGTTGGGAAAGGAGGAAAAAAAAAGGTTTTTCTTAACTGAGACAGGGTTAATTAGTTGCCTCTCTCAGTCTCTGCTAGTCCTTATCTTTTGCTGAAGATGCTCTGCTCATGTCCTCCATAAAATCAACCCTTGATAAAAACCTCTTACAATTGGACTGAGACAATATCGCACAATGGTGACACTTACCACATAGAGCCTGACAATTATAAGATATACATTACTTTACACATTAGAAATGCAAACCCCACACCACTACACTACACAATTAAAACAAGATTACTTGCAATATAAAATTCCCATAAGCAGCTAGACCTACCTCCAGCACTCTATCATGGAATGTACATATAGAGAAACTATTCCAAGTGTGCAAAACTTCTAGGCATCATTTACCTTGTGGCTAAGGATTGTAAACTTAGTCTCTTACTAAAGCTTTACTGTACAATAATTCAACCCCACCTAGACTATTATGCAACTGTTTGGTCCCCATTGAACAACAAATACAGCCAGTATCGTGCCCAAAAAATCTCTAATGGGGGAGGTTGACACATAAAAAATTGCTATTCCACCCTATATTTGTGGCCAAATTAAAAAATTTGTGAGAATCAAACCTACAAAAATGTATTCCAATGGGTGGGGGGGGGGGGGGTATGACCCCCAAAACCCTCCCTTAGGTACACCACTGCATACAGCTCCAAAACTGAAAAATTTTTAAACAAAAGCTGCCCAAATTATCTTAAAGGTGAGTAAAAGAACTGCCCTCCCCCCCACATCCCCTAATAATTTGCAAGCATTAAATCCCATGTTCCTCAAAAGTAATAAATTTCTTTCTCTGAACTACTGCATTAAAATTTGTCATTCCTCGGAGCCTGACCACTCAATTCTGGGCAACATAACCAATAGCAACAGAAACCCCAAAATGCTCACCTTCAAACGGCTTTCTACTCGAACCAATATTAGAGCAAATTCCCTCTATCCATGCATTGTATGATTATGGAGTGAACTTCCAGACAATTAAGCTGTTGTTAAGCTAATTCCTGATAATGCAAATAGACTCTTGAAACAATATTTCTCCAGATGTCCTTAATCTAACTTTTTTTTTGGGAGGGGGTCTGCAAATTTCCTGATATATAATGCTCCCTTTTATTTTGTTCCCGATCCAGTAATGTTCTCTCCATCCACGTTGCATTATTCTATCTCTTTTCTTTTTCGGTTTTGTTTCGTTTCCCCCCTTTTGCTTCACTTGATTGATCAATGTCTTGATCTCCCTGGCTGTCATAGTGTACATCGCTATATACAGGCCAATAAAGCTGAACTGAAATGAAAAAGAGTGGGCGAGGACACCCCCTTTAAGTAGTCTTCAGGCTCACTCAAATTCTATTCTCTGCACGCAACTGAAACTAAAAGCATTGAACATCTCCGCATCCCATTTACAGCTCAACAGGACTGCATCTAGAGCAACATCTTGTCCTAGTGCCGGTGCATTAAGTCTTATATGAGCTCCATCATGGTATTTGTGTGAGACGCCATATTTTCCCCAAGTGATGCTTAAAGCATCGAGCCCATGCACAATGATAAGCATTCATCTGGCTTCTCTCTTTAAGTATTTCTTCGATTTAAAATTTTTATTGAGCCTTTTTTGCCTTTTATAATCTTACCATTGTGGTAAAAGTTGCTTACCCTCCAAAAACTTTGCCAAGTCATCCCTTTTTTTTCCCCCGCAAGAGGAACCCTTAGCTGCTATAACTCAAGCAACCTTGCTTCAAGCCGGTTACTACGCGAGAAGCGTGATCGGGCGACGTGATAATTCTGAGCGAGGCTATCCCCTTGGTCAGTACATTGGGTCAGTTGACTAAAAATTCAGTAGGATGGGATACTGTCTGTAGTGTGTACCCTCTTAAGTTAACAGTGCTTTTTCCAGGACCTGTTTGAACCTAGTGCACTAGGCCAAATTGGCAGAAGGCAAACGGCCCGTCAACAAACAACAACTTGAGCGAGGCTATGCGTTCTTATTTTCCTTCTGTGACACCATGGTATTCAAAATGGAGAAGAGTACAGGCTTTTTCGTACCAAACAGGTTACTCATTCTCACAGTGCAGGCTGAGGATTTAGCCTAACCTTTTGCATGATGGCTTTTGGATGGCTTGAAGACTAGTCTAAGTTTATGCACTGTTTACTTCATGTTTTATAACTGGGTTGATGTTTTTTTGCAGGAAAGTATTGCGTGATATGCTGTCACTCTATCTTACTGGTGCCTTGCTGCTGCTAGGAAATGCAGCAGCTGGAATTGTGGACCATAATGTCATAGTGCATCGTGGAGATCGGATGAACTTGCTTGATCTTGCACAAAGTCTCAATTTGACCGTTTTTGTTGAGGCTATGGAGAAAACTCATCTTGATAATACTATCGATCATGAAGGTGAGATCTAGATTTGGGCAGATAATAGGCTTTGGCTTTCATGAGCGACTTTGAGTTATCCTCCTTTTTATTTCCAGGCCCATACACACTCTTTTCCCCATTGAACATTGCCTTTGAAAACATCCCTGATTACACCAAGGAATACTCTCTTGGAGACCTGATGAAACTCCATGTTGCCCGTGGAGACTACCTGGAGAAGGAATTGAAGGATGAACAGTTGATTCGCTCCCTTCTTAGCAAAAGGGATGTTCGAATCAACATCTACAAGAAAAAATCTGGAAAAGTTGGTTTGATCAAACTACTCTACTGTACACAACCTTTTCTTACCTTCACTAATCCCAATGCACTGCAATTTTGATAAGTGCAAGAATTAGAAATAATTGTAAAAGCTGTTAAGATTAGCAACCTGATGTGTTTTTTCTGTTTTCTTTCACCTGATCCCCCAGTTCCATGTTAGGAAACTCTAGGAACTTTTCCCTCCATCATACGAGGCTGGTCTCGGTTAAAATTGCCTGTTGTTGACTAAACAAATGAAATGCTAACAAGGCAGAATTCTTTATAATGACAGTGATGCAAAATATTTCTCCCTGCACATATATGTGACTATGCTGTATCTATTCTCATCCCTGTGTAGTGATAGTTGGTTAAGAAGGTGTTATGGCATCTGTCTTTGCAGTTAATAACAGCCAATGGACAGAAGTTGAATGAGACAGACTTTGATGCCCATAATGGAGTGCTTCACATCATTGATGGAGTGATGAACTCCATTTATGCAAGAGAAGGGACTGCCTTAAAGGAGGTATCCTCTGGAGCTCTGCCATATTACAGCTTTAATACGCTATCAAGAGCAGTGAAGAGTTCTGATGTTGTCACATCTCTTCTGGATGGCTCTGGTCCTCTCACTCTCTTTGCTCCATCTGACAAGTAAGCTGTAAGGTTAATGTTGATTGTGTTGTAATAGATGGAAGTGATTGAATTTTATTAGAGATATTGCATTAGGAGATTGAACTGTCAATTGTGGACTAGTTGCTGAAACTGCCACACAGTTACCAGACCATTTGGACATGACAAAACTGGTGTGATGAGCCTGCAATAGAATCATATGATGTGTTGTCCATTCCATCAGTGTTGGAGCACATCTGACATTGATGGGAAATTATCCATTGCTTTTCTCGCCATAGCCAGAGGAATATTGCTGTAACAAGATCTAGGATATAGGGGGTTGGGTGACATGAACCATTTCCTCTTCACAGCCAAAAATCACCAACTCTCAAATTGCACAACCTCACTGGCCACTCACAGGGCCCTTTGCAACCAATTCGCCTCCTTCAGAATGTTGCGAGCCTCAAGGGAGTAATGTGATATGGCACCATCCTACTAAAAAAAGATGGTGCTGATATTGTGGAAAAGTCATGGTAGATACCATGACTGTGGGGGTATCTGAAGGAAATGGTTTGTGTCACCAAGCCCCCCAATGTCCCAGTTCTCATTATAGCCGTATGGTGAGAAAAGCAACAGATAATTATCCCCTTCTATATCGGATGTGCTCCAATGCAGAAGAGCATCATTTCAAATGGATGACACATCGAAACATCAACATCTGCACAGATTTCTGTGGTGTAACTTTTAGCTAACCCTTCATCACTGTGATATCCAGTATGGTAGTGTACTTTTATGACATCTCATGGATCATGGGTAAACTCTATTGTCTTGAGACTTTCATCCTTGGACAGTAGATGTTTCTTGGATTTATTTCCTCCCCAATGTGTGAAGCTTCCTATGGAAGCCATGGGAAATTTTCATAGTTTGTATGTTTGCAGTAGGTGAAATATGGCAAACTCCAGCCTCAAGTGTACATGGTGTGATGGAATAGACGAATATGTGAGACGCTTGAACGATGAAGATAGTGAGTAAGGTGAGGGTAGTGTGAAAGAGTTGGATTCTGAAGTAGGCTAATTCTGAATCCATTGGATATAGCAGATGGGGCATCAGAAAGTGAAGATGATGCTGGTGATGCAAGCCTAACATTTCAGTGGTTTCATAGGGACAAAACAACATAGCAAGGGTGACTGGGAGAGACTGGTTCACAGATAATACTTGATGATGCTGAGGATGAAGTGGAAGTGTTCCAACAATTTTTTTAATGAAGAAATAATGAATCCTTGAAAGTGAAACTAACGAGTATGCTGAATAGTGCATCTCAAAGGCTACTTCTCAAAGATCTTGAGTTCACATATGGGTACCAACTAATATGTCACAGTTGTATGTTCTCTTATCTGTGTTCATGATGGTGGGTGTTGCAAGAAAAGAATGTAAAGCCATACTACAGGAATGACTACATACTAAGAACCCCTGGTTTTGCAGAAGTCTTGACACTTGAAAGGCTTGATTTGCTGTGCACATTTATGCATTTTGTGAACAATTCAAAATGAATGAGTACAAAAGACCACCAAAACCTTTTCAAAATATGCCCAGTTCTGGAAATGTTACTTTCCAAAGTTCAATTACCTTCCTGCTGAGAATATTTACATTGATGAGTCTCTTACTCTTTGGAAAAGTAGGCTGAACATCAAGCAATATATGCCCTTGAAGTCCTCACAGTATGGTGTCAAAAAGTGTTTTGAAGTTTGAGTCAAGTACTGGTTACTTAAGGAGTTTTGTTGTTTGTACAGGACAATAAGGTAAAGAGGAAGAAAAAGCTTGACTTCTGTGTGGGATTATAATTGTCATAGGGTGAAACAGATCATAAGGACCATTCAGCCTTACCTGTTAGAGAAAAGAAAGGGGACAAAGTGGTATGTAGAAATTTTCAAGGGATTTCTCAATTTTTCAATGCACCACCCATTTGCAGTGTTCTGTCATTATGATTGGTGGGAAATAAATAAAATAAAATAAACCACTATATTGCACTCATTGCATATATATTAAAGCAGCTTGCAGCATTTGAAAGAGAAATGAAGAAGCTTCAAAATTGTGTTGCCCACATTTCAAATATCTTCAAAACTTAGAAATTCAGGAGCTTATTTAAGTGCAAAGCAAAAATTATGTTGCCACAGGACAGGACATGGATGGACAAGGCAATGGCTGAAGGTCACATGCTGTCTCCATCCAAAAGCACGGCAACACAGTTTTTGTTAGTTGTTCATATAAGCTCCAGAATTTCAGAAACTGTTGAATATATTTGAAATGTATGTTCACCATTTTAAGCTTATTCATTCTACTTTCAAATGCGCAAACCACATTAAAATATATGCAGTGAGTGTAGTATAGTATATATTTCAAACTCTTTTTTTTAGTTCACCTGGTAATGGAAGAATTTTATCACCTTAATCTTTTGCAAAAGGCTTTTAAAAAGACTCAGAGAAATGTCAGGTTCATCTGGAGAGGAAGTCAGTAGGTCAACAGTAAATCCACCCCTTGTTAGACTGATAGACACTTTTCAGAGCACATACCACCAACAGAAAAAGCAAAGCCTCACCAAAAGTGAGTTGTTTGTAGTAAACAGGAAAAAAAGGAAAGAAACTATGGTGGTGCCATAACTGTAAAGCTGCTCTCTGTATAGAGGAATGTTTTTAAATCTACCATACACAGTGGCACTTTTAGCATGTGAACCTCATGATAGGTTTTGATTCTTATCTCTCTTATTAAATTGAAATAACATTTGCTTAAAGAAGGTTATACTGTCACACAAGACTGAAAAAAATATTACTATCACAGAGAATGTTCTGTCCTTTTTAAATGGCCCTCTTTGAAGTGTTAAGAAGGTAACCTTCAATACAGGATATTTTTCTTCAATGTTGTTTCTTTACCTTTTGTATTCAATTCAACATGTTGAGGGTTTTCTGGGATACCTTGTTTACAAACTTGAAAGACTGGAATGCTATCAGGAATTCTCTCTCAAAAGCGAAAATATATTTATACTGTGTTGGAGGTTGGGGCAGAGGAGATGCAGTGTTGCTTCTTAGGACTTTTAATTCTAGTTTCTTCATCCTGTCCTTATGGTTAAATGGAAATATTGCTATAGGCAAGAATTTAATTACTAATGCTGCCTGCAAGTGACTCTCATTTGTTTTCCTCCAAGGGCATTTTCTCGCCTCCCTGATTCAGTGAATGATTACCTGCTGAAGAACAAGACAGCCCTGGAGTATGTGCTGAAGTATCATGCTATCTCTGGTCGCACTTGGTTCACTATTGGACTTGAGGACAACATGAATCTCCAGACAGCTGCTACCATTCCTCTTACTGTTTCCATCAAACAAGGTCAGTTTCATATTCATATAACATTTTACGCTTCATTCCCAGCCACAGTCACTGGGCAGTAGGTGAAGTGAAGCTAATACTATCCATTGCAATGTACAGGATTTCAGCTACTATTGTAGATTTTGAATCCTATGCTTGCATCCATTTCCATAGATGGAGTGAAGGTAGGTGATGCAAAGGTGGTCCTGCCAGATTTCTGTGTTGCCAATGGAGTTGTCCACATCATCGACAATGTCCTGCTTCCTCCTGGATTTCCTCAGTTCTAAAGGCCTCATGCTTATTTTTCTTGCAATCAAATCCTGAAATCTCAAACTCTGCTTTCTTGTTGAGTGCCAAATGCTGTCTGTTGCCTTCACATGCATTGTTATGGTAAAGCCTTGCATTTATAATGCTGTTTTTAATTCTCAGTATATGTTTAGCAGGCTTGATGTCACCCTAGTAGCCAATGAATTTTTGAATGTGTTGAATCTTGATAAATGATCTTGCAACCACTTAATCCTGACTGTTTAGGGACCCCCAATACAACATACAAGGGCCACTCGATAAGTTATCTACCTGAATATGAAAGGGATGAGCAACAGGCCTGTGCCTGCTGTGACATGTCTCGACAGGTCTCGTGAGTGCCCCACCACTATACCAGCTCAGTGGCTCAAGTCCGTTCAAAGTGGTAGCGCATTAGATTTNTGGTCATGTTTAGTGTCTTACTTCTTCAGGTTTCCCGTTTGTTTTCTGCCCCTGTGGACCCAAGGAATGGGATTCACATCACATTGACAGACTGCTACTAATAGAAAGTGACCGCAACAAACTTATCAGCCCAGCGTTCGGTCATTGACGTCCTCATTGAGTATACATGCTCATTGACAAACATATTGCGTATCTTGCACTACAGATTGCAACCATGATCCCTATGAGTAATCGTTCTCTGTTTCTTGCGTAACTTAGGAAACGGACACGGGGAGTACGAGCGCGAGTGGGTTGGCATGACATCACGATGAACATAAGAGCCGCTCGAATCCCTTATTCGTGATAGTTTTTGAGGAGAGATCGCAAGTCGAGTTCGTAAGCGATCTTGGAGATTTGGAGTGAGAATCGATGGGCTAACGGGACTGATCTGAGAAAGTGCTATTCTGACCTCATTCATCTGGTGTTGGACGAAGAGGCCTCAATAGTCTTTCCAAATCAACCGACATCGTGTTCCCAATCTGGAACATAACGAAATAATTTTCGTATAAAATGGTTGAAGACTCGATGTGTGGCGAATGGAGAATTTATAAAACATCCTTGATGTTCCCGATTGGGAAGAACATAAATACCTTTTAAATATAAATTTGTTACCAACTGGGAGTATATTAAAAAATGCTGGATCAGTATCATTGCTGAATAAAAGACCTTCGTCGCAAACTTCTTAATTTTTTAATTGTTATATTTCATGCCTAAAAAAAAAAAATTTTTGCATGGTATCTCATGTCCTTATCTCACATCTTTGTCTGACCTTTTAAGAATTTCACCTGTTGCAGCTTTTCTGTTTTGTTTTTTTTTTCAATTTTTTTCCTTTTGACGAAAGCCCAAAATTGCAATAAAATGGCCGGATTTTGCCAGTTTGATGCTAAATATATTATTTTTCCTACCTTTAAGGAAATATATACGAAATGTTAAGGTTTTTCGCCGAGGCTTTCATATATCATGCAGTAAAGGGTTAGAGATGGCATTTCTTGAAATTTTTTTCCTTTTCAGAGTCGTGTAAGCAACTTTTTTATTTGTGTTCATCATATGGGACATCAAATTGACCGCCTCATTAACAGTTTGAATTCTTTCGCTCTCCTATCTAAGAGGAAAGAGAAAATCCCAGCCTGTGTTTTGCTCCCAATGATTTCTGTTTTTTTTTGTTTCCCCTTGGAATGCTCGAATTTGTTGACTTGCTTCTCGCCCCGTCCCGTCGAATGGAGACGAAGAAAGAGCTTGAAAGCAAACATCGGAGACGAGCCGCTTCGAGGGACCAACAACGCAAGAATTTGCATTCGAGTCCCGACGGGCGGCCGCATTGATATTTCATACTTTAACTCGGGCTTTGAAGGAAATGGAAATCCTCACGCATAGTCGAGGAAGATTGAATCCCGATGGGACGTTCCGGATCCATGAAAAATCCTCCTGAATCTTATCATTTCCGACGGAAATCCCGCTCCACAAATAGCGTTTCTTTGTTGAGCGTGAAATACTCTTGGGAAGTCATGCACGAAGCTACATTATGATAGTCATGCGGGGTTCGTCTTGGGATTCATGCCTGTCATTCTTGGCGTGAGCTTGACGCAATAATATACTCCATCGCCCTTGTGCTTCTCAGAATTTTATTTTTTTCCTATGAATACGTCCCTGTTCCCCCCAAGCTTTTTTTGTCATATCATCAGCTGATTCCTTCATGTTTGTGGTTTTCTTCCATTTCTAAATATTTTTTCTGACGAGTAGCGATCGATCCATTCTGAGATAAGACTCTTCGCCTGATGACGATTGCGTTGCGATGTTTCTCATATCATCCGCAATTCAGTTGGGCAACCAATGTGGGGAGAAGGGGGGAGAGGGTTGAGGAGTTTGAAACACCCCAAATGCCCAGAAAATCCCCGCCCCTCCCCACCCCTCCCCCTTCCGAAGGAGGCGCATACAAAGAAGAGCGAGTGCCCCCCCCCCCATTATTGAATCTGACATATTGCCGCAGTAAGCCAAAAGCCAATATTCTGTCCAACACATTCCCTCGCCCCTTTGCTCTGGAGCACTCTCCCCCAACGCCCCCTCCCCCTCCCCCTCCCCCTCTCTCTCCCCCCTTCTCCTCCCAAAAACACGTCTAGATGGGTCTCTGTCCGAGGCAAACTTCATCCTTTTTGACCCACAGAGAGAAAGGGGAATCTCGGCATTCCAACATATTCATTTTGCTCATTTCAAGCCATGTTTGCGAAAAGCCAAACGTTGACAAAATTCCCTTCCTTCCGATCCCTTTCGTCTCTCGTCCAAAAACGGAATGAATCGAACGAGGTGCTTTCGCTACGGCTGTCCGTGTTCGCTTTTTTTGCTGCGAATTTGGCCCTCTGCCCTCCACCGAGTTCCGATAAGTCTTGATTCTTCTGTCTTCGTCTTCCGAACTGATGCCCCATCTCCCCTCATAAACACAGCACACCACGAAATGCTAAGAGGGAACCCTTTAATACGGACACATTACCCCATTCTACCGAAATCCTTAGTCTTCTGCCCCACTGCGACATCCAGAGAGACTCAAGGAGCGAATGAATAAAGGAGCGAAAGCGAATTCCCCCTTCGCCATCTCGGCAAATCCCCCCCCCCCCCCCGAGGGAAGGGAATCTCCTTGCTTTTCCCCCTTTTCCATTCCTTGTGTAAACTTAATTCGGAGCGAGAGCTAAAGTCATAATGCATGCAGATCGCTCCGAGCGAATCGAAAGGCACGAAGTTCCTTCCGCCTCGGAAGACAAAGACGGATCAGGAGTCCGCCTCACCCTCTGACCTTTACCATCAAGGCTCCCACCATTCCGCCGGACGGCGAAAATGAAGCGGCCGACTGCTTCCAGAAAATAAATGATGCAGACGGCAGCGAAAAGGAACCTCAAGAAGGAGCGCCCATCGATCTTATCGACTAGACTCGGTCCGTGGAATGTCAAGGAGATGAATTACAGGGTGTTTCAAAAGCTCTTGCCGTTTTCATTGGTTCTTCTGGCGGGAAAATCAAGTCGAATGAAATAATTCCGACTGGAGTTCGTGCTCAAAGGCAAGTCGAAGATTTCATTCGCGAAAGATTTTTTAATCGAACTTCAACATAGCTAGAGTCACCGCGCATTTTCTTGCACGACCTTGCTGGCTTCGTTCGTCGACCGGTCCTGAACTTTCCTCGAATCTCTCGTTCGAACTCCTCCGGAGTTCGGAGTTTCTCGACGTCAACTTGGCTTTTCGAGTATCCCCATGAGAAAAAGCGGATCGGTTGCGAAGTGTGGAGAGGATGGAGCCCACACCGAGGCCCACGCGTCTTCCGATCCTCCCGGTGGGGGAGGACCGAGGGAGGATCGGGGGAGGATGTCCCTAAGGAGTTGCCTTCCCGAATTCGGAATGAGGAGAGGGTGGAGTATCATATTGTTCGTGTCGTCGTATCATGTCTCCCTCGGTAGGAAGAGTCTCCTCTCCTGTGTATATGGAGAATTCTCTAGCGTGCCGTTCTCGGTATTCCCATCTTCGTCCTCGAAAAAGAATATGCCGATACTCCCTCTTGCCGAGCCCCGTGCAAAGACCGAGGTGAATCGGTTTTTTGCGTGCTTTTGAGTCTCTTTCGGATTTTCGGCTCTTCGGATACGGCAGTGGGGCATCGACCCTTCCGAAAATGCAGAGTTTCGGGTTCGTCAACGAACTAGGCGACACAAAGGAGAGGAATCGTTTCGGAAACGACCGAGCAAAGCTCCGCACATTTCTACTCGCCGATCGCCGTATCGTGCTGCTCATTTCTGCCCGCTCGTTGCTCGAGGCGCTGCGCCATCTGAATTATCTGCGATTAGCTTTAATGTTCTTTCTCAACATTCGATAAATCACAGATGATTTGGAGTTCCAAGGCAACACTCTCGATGGACTTGGTCTGACTAGGTTCAAAATGCTCCATCTCGGCCAACGGATCTCTGACGCGTTGAAAGAGCATTTCTGCGCTCGAAAATAGTGCGAAACTCTTGTACGGAGCCAGGAGACTGAATAATTTATTTCCAGACGACAATTTTACACCGTTGCAACGAGTAGCTGTGTTGAGATAAGTTATCATCGAGCAATAAAACAAAAAAAAAATTCCAACCTATGGTGTCACGATGCAGCTGGAATCTAACTCTGTCGAACAGTATAGAAGGTACAAAAAAGAAATCGGGAAGAGACTTTTGAAACACCCTGTAAACGACGAGACGATGGCCAAGTCGTTAATCGTGCTGGGGACATCATGCCAAAAGGACATAAAGGGTAGACCCTATGTTTAGTTGCGTGGGCGAGCAACTCGTACCTATTGGCTACTGGATGGAAATTCGATTCGATTCGTGTTGCTTCAGAGGCTGCTTGGTGGCTTGGGCAAAAAAGTTGCAAGCAGTTCATTTTCGATGCTGCATTAATTAAGGAATTAAGAATTAATGGCAGGAAGTCATTAAGTCACTCCGTGAGAAGGAAGGAGAAAAAATGATTTGATCGCGGAGTTTTCGCACCGTGCAGCGCCAAAATGAGTTTCGCACGAAATGAAATCGCCACCTTTCCCCGTTTCGCCGCAGAACAGCCGGATCCCGCATTCGATCCGGCTTTTTGGCGTCATGTTTCCGAAAGGAATGGGGCATCAATCATTCATCTCGTGAATATTTATGTTCCTGGACCCGGTGAACACACGATACCTGTGGACTACTTCGCCTATCCAGGCCTCTCCAGGTTTGTTGAGACCTTCAGAAGCAAACGATTTTCTTCTGGGGTGAGGTTGAGGTGTGTGCAGTTAGTAAATTATGCAGCATTCCGGCGTTCACCTGCCGGGACTCAAAGATTCAAGACTTGGGCCTTGACGTGACGAAGCATTTCTGTCTATATCGACATCCCGTGTGAAAATCGACGTCCCTACCCCCCACCCCCCCCCCCCCCCCCCCCCCCCCCC